GTTGTTTTGATCTGCATTTCCCTTACAATGAGGGATGTTGAGCATTTTTTTCATATGCCTTCTGGCTATTCGTATGTCATCTTTAGTGAGTGTTCTTTTCAACTCCTTCTTTCATCTTTTAATAGGGTTCATCATCTTTTTTCAAAAAAGCTTCTTTAGTTCCTTATGTATTCTGGTTATCAATCCCTTATGTGATGCATAGTTTACAAAAATATTTTCCCATTCTGAGGGTTGTCAATTCACACTAATTGCTGTGTCTTTTGCCATGCAGAAAATACTAAGTTTGATGTAATCCCATTTGTCTATTTGGGGAATTATCGATTGATCTTTGGAGGTCTTATTTTAAAAGTCTTCCCCTACTCCAATGTTTCCCAGAGTTTCCCCAGTTTTTTCCAGGAGCAGTTTTATAGGTTGAGGTCTCAGATTTGGATCTTTGATCCACCTTGACTTGATTTTCATTAGAAGTGAGACGTAGGCTTTAGATTCATCTTTCTGCAGGTGGAAATCCAGTTTTTCCAGCACCACTTGCTGAAGAGGCTTTCATTTTCCCACTGTATTGACTGGTACCCCTTGTCAAAGATCAGTTGACTGTAGGTTTGGGCATTTATTTCTGGGGACTCTATTCTGTTCCATTGGTCCACGTGTCTGTTTCTGTGCCAGTACCATGCTGTTTTGATTACCACAGCTTTGCAGCATATTTTTGGGTCAGGGAGTGAGATGCCGACCACTCCATTCTTCTTGTGTAGAATTGTTTTGGTAATACGGAGTCTTTTATTATTCCAGATGAATTTTATGATTGTCTTTTCTAGATCTGTGAAGAATGTGTCTGATACTTTGATTGGCATTGCATTAAATAGGTAGATTAATTTGGGTAGAATTGCCATTTTGATTATATTAATTATATCAATCCAGGAACATGGGATGTCCTTCCACTTTTTTGTGTCATTTTCAATTTCCTTTTTTAGTTTCTCATAGTTTTCCTTATGGAGGTCTTTAACTTCTTTGGTTAGATTTATTCCTAAATATCACATACTTTTGGTGGCTATGGTAAATGGAATAACTTTTTTCAGTTCTATCTCAGTCTGTCTGTTATTTGTATATAGAAATGCTATTGATTCTTGTATATTGATTTTATATCCTGCATCTTTACTGTAATCATGTATTACTTCCAGTAAATTTTCCATGGAGACCATTGGGTCTTCCACGTATACAATCATGTTATCTGCAAATAGAGAGAGTTTCACCTCTTCTTTTCCTATTTGAATGCCCTTTATTTTTTCCTCTTTTCTGATTGCGTTGGCAAGGATTTCCAGTACCACATGGAAAAGGAGTGAAGAAATTGGGCTTTCTTGACTTGTACCCATTTTTAGTGGAGAAGCTTTCAGCTTTTCTCCATTCAGGATGATGTTCGCTATGGGTTTTTTTTTTTTAAATTTTTTTTGAGAGATTTTCACTGTAGGGCGTGTGCGCTCGCCAGACAGACAGAGAGAGACAGAGAGACAGAAAGCGAGAAATCCACCCCCACCTTCTCCTCTCAGGATCTTGGGCACGCATGCACACGCGCCCGGCGTGAGTTTTAAAAGCCACCGGGACACAAACCGCAGTCGACTACGTGGGAGTCCAGCGACATAGCCATTACGATAACTGCTGGTTCCCAGCTATGGGTTTTTCATAGATAGCTTTTATTTGTGTTGTGAAATGGCCCTCTATACCGATATTGCTGAGAGTCTTGATCATGATGGGATGTTATATCTTATCGAATGCTTTTTCTGCATCAATTGGTATGATCTTATGTTTTTTTTTTAATCTTTCTTCCTGTTAATATGGTGTATTACATTTATGGTTTTGCATATGTTGAACCAACCTTGCATTCCTGAAATAAAGCCTACCTGATCATGGTATATAATCTTTTTTTTATAATTTGTTGGATACAATTTGCTAGTATCTTTGTTGATAATGGACCTGAGTTTCCATAATATTTGACATACTGCTAAAACAGTGTTGAGAATCTTTGCTTGTATATTCATCGCAGATATTGGTCTATAGTTTTCCTTCCTTCTCCTGTCTTTATCTGTTTTTAGGATAAGTGTGATAGAGGTTTCATAGAATGAATTGGGGAGAGATTCACCCTTTTGTATCTTTAGAAATAACTTGAGAAGAATGGAGGGTAACTCTTCTTTCAATGTTTTGTAGAATTCAGAGGTGAAGCCATCAGTGTCAGGGTTTTTCTTTGTTGGAAGGTTATTTATTACTGATTCAATCTCCTAGTTTGTTATGTGCCTATTCAGACTTTCTTTCTTTCCTTTTTTTATTTTTTGAGACGTTTCTGCTATAGAACATGTGCACTCATCAGAAAGACAGAGAGACACAGAGAGACAGAGAGCAAGATATCACCCCCCCAGGGGGGATGGCCATGCCACAATCCCTTCTCCTCCATTCTCCTCTCAGGATCTTGGGCATGCATGCACACGTGCCTGGTGTGAGTTTAAGCCACCAGGTCCAGGACTTGATCTGCCGTAGAGTACATGGGAGTTCAATGACATAGCCATTACACTAACTGCTGGTCCCTTAATGATCCTGGCTCAATCTTGGTAGATTATATGTGTCCAGGAATTTGTCCATCTCATCCGGAATGTCTTGTTTCTTGGCATAGTTTTTCTCTG